AGAAGGCAGCGGAGGAGAGCGGAGAGCCGCCATCACAAAGGCCGTCGACTTCTTGCGCAGGAGGAGGAGGAGGAGGAGACGACAACCGTAAGGCGGTCCATAAGCAGTCAGACCCGCCTTCATCCAAGTGTCGCAAGTATCGAGAGGAATACATCCAGTATGGATTCACATGCCTCATTATCAATGAAGCACAACATCCCCAATGTGTAGTGTGCACTGAGGTTCTTGCACATGAGAGCTTAAAGCCCGTAAAAATGCTCAGATATTTAAACGCGAAGCACCCCTCTCTTGCTACTAAACCAGCAGAGTTTTTCTGCCGAAAGCAGAGAGAATTGCAAGGCCAAAAGAAAGTTATAACTAACCAAGCAACAATCCCTACCAAGGCTCAAAAGGCATCATATGAGGTGGCATATTTAATTGCACAGGCAAAAAAGCCACACACAATCAGGGAAACCCTAATTAAACCTGCTGCTATCGCTATGAGTAGGGCAATGCATGGGGATAAACAGACACGGGAGCTGGAAGCAGTGCCGCTGTCTGACGGGACCATATCCCGGCGCATCACGGACATGGCCCAGGATATCAAGTGTCAGCTGATTGACAGAGTGAAGAAAGGGAAATATGCTTTGCAGTTAGACGAATCCACAGATATGTCAAACTCTGCCCAACTGCTTGTTTTCGCCAGATACAGTTTTGATGGAAAACTTGATGAGGACATGCTGTTTTGCACCCAGCTGGAGCTAAAGTGCACAGGCGAGGACATTTTCACAAAACTTGACAACAAAATAAAAGAAGAGGGACTGTCTTGGGATGAGTGCATCGGTGTGTGTACAGATGGTGCTGAGTCGTGGCTGTGGTCCTGGATCATAGGTCCTGGATGGATATCCTCGTGGATTCATCTTCCTATTATACACACATGCATTTCCAAACATTTGGACTACCTATGTTGCAAATGTATTATCTTTTCAATTTACACACGGCATCTATTGCACGTCTGTCCGTCCTGGGAGAGGGATCCCTCCTCTGTTGCTCTCCCTGAGGTTTCTCCCATTTTTCCCTTTAAACTGTGGGTTTTCTTCGGAAGTTTTTCCTTGTACGATGTGAGGGTCTAAGGACAGAGGGTGTCGTATTGTCATACTGATATTCTGTACAAACTGTGAAGTCCACTGAGACAAATGTAACATTTGTGATATTGGGCTATATAAATAAACATTGATTGATTGATGGAGCAATGCTGGGGAAAAAGAGAGGACTAAAAGCAAGAGTCTTACAAGTGGCGCCCCATGTTATCTTTACGCACTGTATTATCCACAGAGAAGCTCTAGCGAGTAAAACGCTTGACCCAGAGCTTAAAAGTGTTCTTGAGACGGCGATAAAAATGGTCAACTACATCAAATCCCGTCCACTCAATACCTGGCTGTTCGCCAATCTCTGCAACGAACTGGGATCGGAGCATCAGGGCCTGCTGTTCCACACAGAAGTCGGGTGGCTTTCAAGGGGAAATGTTCTCAGCCGCCTGTATGAACTGCGGGACGAGGTGCGCTTATTTCTCACGGAGCATGGGTCCCAGCTCGCTGACCACCTGACAGACCCTGACTGGTTAACAAGGCTGTCATATTTGTCTTGCATATTTGACAGACTGAACGGACTTAACCTGTCATTGCAAGGTGAAAACACAAGCATCATGTCCTTGAATGATAAAATCTGCGCATTCAAGAGGAAAGTGGATCGCTGGACTGCGCAAGTTGAAATGGGCAGGATTGATATGTTTCCTGAGCTGGAGGAATTCATAGAGGAAAATGATCTTAGTGTTAACTCTGTGAAGAAGTCTATCACTACCCACCTGCAAGCCCTCCTGGAACACTTTAACAAGTATTTCCCAGAGGAAGCAGCTCCGGAAAAATATGACTGGATAAGATCACCATTTACCGTAACGACCGCAAGTCATCTGTCATCCGACATGGAGGACGCACTGACTGAACTGTCAAGTGACCGCACATTAAAGACAGCTTTTAATGCGAAGACGCTTGCTGAGTTCTGGATTTCAGTTGAGAGGGAATACCCACAGCCTTCCAAGGCCGCGATGGACGTGCTGAGGCCGTTTGGCTCCACATACCTGTGCGAAAAGACTTTCTCGGCACTGACATACATAAAAAACAAATACAGATCTCGTCTAAACGTGGAGGATGATCTCCGAGTGGCCGTCTCCAAAATTAAGCCCAGGATGGATTTGCTGTGCTCCATGCATATTGCCCACCCGTCATATTAGGCAGGGCCGGCCCTCGGCATAGGCAGTATAGGCGAATGCTAAGGGCGCATCAACCCATAGGGGGCGCCGGAAAAAAGAAAAAAAGAAAAGTTAGAAATTAAAAATAATTTTTTTTTTTTTTTCCATAATACACAATTTCCCGATTTTGCATCAACAAAGTACATCTTATTATCTTATACTAACAGAACTACGCGTACAGCGCCCATAAACTATGGCACACCCCCCCAAAATCAAGTTGAACTGCCCCAGTCCCAGTAAAAAGGTTTATGTGAAATTGTTCTTTTTTTAAAATAATGGTTTTAGTGTGCAATTATAGGTTTTAATTTATTTTGTATTTGTATTTGTATTCATTTAAAAATAAATCAAACTTCCAAAAAACATACACAGCTTCTGTGTGCTTTTATTAACATTGGAATTTACATTGTAAGCGGCCGCGGGGGTGAGAGCTTTAGAGAGCTCTCTCCTGAAAGACTGAGAGGCTCTGATAACCCTAACCCTAACCCAGCTAAAATCTTGCCTAGGGCGGCAAATTGGTCAGGGCCGGCCCTGACCAATTTGGTGAGATTAACGCTGAAACATAGCGTATTCCCCAAATGTAAATATGCACCGCAACAATGTTCATATGTTTATTAGTTCTTATTACCTTTTATGTCTTTAAAGTTTGCACAGCAACAATGTTCATATGTTTATTACCTTTATGTATTTTTACAATTTGCACCGCAACAATGTTCATATGTTTATTACCTTTATGTCTTTTAAAGTTTGCACCGCAACAATGTTCTCCTAATTCACATGAAGATTACTTTGACTCACGAGTTCTGCTGTTATCTTATATTAAATTGCTATATGTCAAATCATATCATGGTTGTCAGGCTGTTCTGTTCTTGTGTGTTGTCGTTATGCGCGTGTTTGGATACGCCTATTAGTGCGTGCGTCCTGTGCACACGTTTTTCTTTTTCTTCCAGTCACCACGTGATAGTGGGGGGTCGCCAGTCTCTGGCACTGTTATTTTGTGGGTCGCAGGCTGAAAAGTTTGGGAACCCTTGGTCTAGAGTACTGTGTGGGTATCAGGGGCACTGCCTTTGAGTGGTTCAGGTCCTATTTGTCCCAGAGATCTTTCTCTGTTAGGCCTGGTAACTTTCCATCGTCTTCTGCCCCCCTATCCTGCGGAGTTCTCCAAGGTTCTATTTTGGGGCCCATTTTATTTTCCTTATACCCCTTGGACTTTTTTAAAGAAAACATGGCATCTCTTACCACCTTTATGCGGACAACTCCCAAATATATCCACCCCTAAAAACAAACACCAGCTCTCTGATGCCCCTGGTTGACTGTCTTAATGACATAAAGGCCTGGATGGCGCTAACATTTTAAAATATAAATGAGAGCAAAACGGAGGTCATTGTGTTTGGACCAAATGGTGATGTCCCTTCCATAGACCTGGGTTGCCTGCAAAACCCGTATGCAAAACCCATGGTCACTAAAAAAAGATAAACTCTGTGGTTGAGTCCAGTTTTTATCACTTGAGGCTCCTGTCCAAAATTAAACCGGTTTTATCCTTTTTAGACTTTGAGCGTGTAATTCATGCCTTTGTTTCGACTCGTTTAGATTATTGTAATGCACTTTATGCCGGCCTAAATCAGACTTCGCTGGCCCGCCTGCAGCTTGTACAAAACGTTACACCAATTCTGGCTCCCCTCCACTGGCTTCCTGTCCATTTTAGAGTTCATTTTAAGATTCTATTGTTTGTTTTTAAATCGCTTAATGGTGTGGCCCCTCAGTACATCTCCGGCCTCCTACAGGTGTACACCCCCTCTAGGGCTTTGAGGTCGGCTGATCAGCTGCGGCTGGTAGTCCCTAAAGCCAAGAAAAAGACCAGGGGAGACCGAGCCTTCTCAGCGGTAGCCCCCAGGCTCTGGAACGACCTGCGCCCCCATGACAAATTGTTGCCCACTCTTCAAACTTTTAAGTCCGGCCTAAAGACCCACAGCTTTTCCCTCGCTTTCGAGTCAGTCTGAGCTATGCTCTACCTATTTGTATGCTTTTATTGTCTGTCCATAGCCTTTACGTGCCTTGTATTTATTCTTATGTGTGCCTTTTATCTATTCTTGTAATATTACATTTTGTTGTAATGATATCTTCGTTGTGAAGCACTTTGGCAAACCCTCTGTTTTTAGAAATAAAGTGGATTGGATTGAAGGCAGTGCTACAGTCGTGTGGCTCATCGCTACAGTATTGTTATTTATTCATCTCCCGTTGTGGCTATGATTTGGATTGTGATCTTTTGAATTTGCTTTTTGTTGCAAACTTATTTTTTATGCATTTCATCTGATAATTCTAAAATAACAGAATTTATTGTGGTTCTGTTGTTGTGTAATGCTGCTAGTTCAGCTGTGTAGCTTATTAGCCTGCGAGCATTGAATGTCGTTCCTGTTGGAGAATTATTTTCATAGCACCTGAGTTAAAAAGATCTAGTGCCTCAAAGCTCCCTAAAATGCACTTTCTGGCACTGCCGCAGATTTCATGAGGTCGTTAAAAGTAATTCGATTTATTTACCACAACATGCACGTACAGTAGGGAGCCCAAATATTACAGACTGCTTAGTGTAATCTATCCATTTAATCCGGCTCTGAGTAAGGGCTGCTTCAACAGTTTCTGTTAAATGAAACGAGTCATTTAGCAGCTTGTTTTAATGCTAACCACGGGATGTTATGTCATGTGTTGGTGTTTGTAGCTGGAGGAAGGACACACGGGGCGTCTGGAGCGCACCGAGGACCTGTGGCTGCGAGTGAGGAAGGACCACGCCCCCCGGCTGGCCCGCCTGTCTCTGGAGAGCCGCTCCCTCAGGGATGTGCTGCTGCACGGTGAGTCGCCACAGAATCCTCCCTCTGTTCATTCATACAGTGAAACTCACAGAGCTGACGTACCTCCCTGAACAACTTTTCAATACTGTAAAGTCATTTGGGTCGAGGATTGGCCTGTGTCTTTACGGACAGCCCATAGGATCCTCCTGCTCAGCGCAGGTGACATTATTTTGGGTCTACCACCTTTTCGTCCGTAACCCACAGGAGCTTTTAAGAAATGTAAAAAGGCCGTCTTACTGCGTCTAACCTCGGCAGCGATGGAGCGTTGCGAGAGGCCTTGCTTGTGCAGCTCCTCCTTCACAAGACAGAAAGTGTTTTGTCACCAGGAGGTCATGACAGTGTGAATGCCTGAATGAAAATGACATGAAAGCCAGGTTTTTGCACTGATTTTGAATTTTTAAGCTAATGGTATTAAACCTTTGATCGGCTGATGAACAGCCTGTTTGAGTTTAAATGCAGTTTTCAATAAATTGCCTACTCTCTTTATGTGACCTATTGCCCCTGTTTTTTTGTTTTTTTTAGCATTTTGAAGCTCTACTAACAACCTGGATAAGATCCACCAGTGAGAAATACAAATTCTTGTAATTTTTCCCCCAGTTTTAAGATTTTGTTAGGGAGTGCATCATATTATACAAATTGTACATTTAAAACGTTTTAGAACATTACAACAAAGATTTCTCTTAGTTTACTTTAAAGTATTAAACTCATATTTACTGAGACATTTTTATTCAGATGAAAATAAAACAGTCTTCTAGTGTCTAAAGTTTGCACATCATTCTGCACAGTGAAGCTCAAACATCCAAATGAAGTAACCATAAGCAAACAGGTTTCTGACTGAACTCAGTGTGAGAACAACACATCTAGAGACAATACGTCTCGAGATACAATACTTCATTACATTAAGGTTAATACATTCACTCATCATCTCACCCAGCTAATAAAGAATCCAAACTTGTTTTCTGACAGGCAAGCCTAAGCTGGGCCGAGAGTTGGGCCGCGGTCAGTATGGCGTGGTGTACCTGTGTGACAGCTGGGGCGGACACTACCCGTGTGCCCTGAAGTCTGTGGTCCCGCCTGATGATAAACACTGGAACGACCTGGCTCTGGAGTTTCACTACACGAGGTGAGTTGGTTAGAAACGTTATTCTTCACAGTGTGGAAAGATGTCTTTGGCTACAAATGTTACAAAGGTGTGTGCAAATTCTGCATACTGAATACATGCATCATTAAGTGAGTGTAAAACATCAGACACACGGACAGACGGACACAGCTGCTTTGTTGTTATATCGGCAGCAAACCTGTTTCTCGTAGAGATATTTCAGAGGTTTTCTTCACATCAAACCTTAATTACAAAAACGGAATAGTCATCACAGCTGTCAGTGCATTATACTGACAGGTAGGAGGTGAGGATTGAACATTTGAAATGACTCGCGGTGTCTGAGCAGCTCCATTTATTAAAAGTTTGGACATTGAACATGACAGTTGCACTGCTTGCTGTGAAGGCCAAACTGTTTTCAGTGTGGAAGCCTGGAGGCTCTGCTGTGCTCACATCAGTTGTTGAAAGCGTCTAATTTATATTCGTCTGCTCCAACTGCCATAAAACTGAGGAATGCATGACGAGTGAAAAAAAGCTGCCTTAATACGGACAAACAAGACTTGCATGAGTTTCCTGTGACTTCAAGATAACAAAGTGATTCTTTAAGGATCATATGGCTGAAATATTGTCTTTCTTTCCTTTGGATGTGTGTTTCTTCAGGTCCCTGCCGAAGCACGAGCGGCTGGTGGACCTGCACGGCTCTGTGATCGATCACACCTACGGGGGGGGGTCCAGCATCGCCGTGCTGCTCCTCATGGAGCGGCTGCACAGAGACCTCTACACAGGCCTCAAGGTGACTTAGAGGAATATTATTGGATTTGGTGAAATCTAACTCGTTACTTCCATTTTAAAGCTGATTCTTACCAGTTTGATGTTGATGTTGAAGTTTGAAGTATCCATGTTGGTTTTTTATATTTTTGTCCAAAAAATACAATAAATCAAATTACAATAATGCCTTTGTCCACACTACACAACAAATATTTATGCATACATAGACTGATCGTAAGCATCTTTGAACATTAGGAAAAGCGCTATAGAAATCCCATTTATTATTATTAATAATCAAAACTCAAATTTGATGCCAATGCTTAATGTTGTGGTACATTTAGATTTTCTTGTATAATTGTGGGTGCTGATAAATCAAAAAGATAACGCGTTCTCCCATATTGATTCTTAAATGGAGATCTGTGCAAATATTTTCCCCCTGCACGAAAGAGCATGGGAATATTTTGGATGTCAATTTATAATGTTTTTTGAACATGTTCAAAACTAAACTAAATAAAAAGAAGCAAAATAACCAAAATCTTTCAAGGTATAAATATATAAAAATAAATACTCAAATAGTTTCCTTCATGTTCAAAAGGAGCAAGAAAAATTAATTTGTTCATGAAATAAAAGTTCAGTTCATCGTCATCAGCATCCGTGATGTAAATCCGTTCTGGGTGTAAAACGGCTTTAAGTCTAAGTCTTCTCCTTTCTGTCCCCATGTCTCCCAGGCTGGTCTATCACTGAAGGAGAGGCTTCTCATCGCTCTGGACGTGGTGGAGGGGATCCGCTTCCTGCATGGTCAGGGCCTCTTGCACAGAGACATAAAGCTAAAGAACGTTCTGGTAAGTTCAGAGCAGCTAAAAACTCAGCAAACCTTTTTTAGTCTGTGACTTCTGAGGGTTTTTGTGTGTTTCTAGTATAAGCTTTATTATAACACCTCAGGGGCTTCATGGACGAACAATACACGGACATAACGAGCCCTCTTTTTTGATGTCATTTCAATTCCAGTTGGACAAACAAAATCGTGCAAAGATAACGGACCTGGGCTTCTGTAAACCAGAGGCCATGATGTCCGGCAGCATCGTAGGAACGCCCATCCACATGGCCCCGGAGCTTTTTACAGGTACGATTACGGAGCAGTCAAATGACCTATACCAGTGTCTCCAGGAAGTGTGTCAGGACTGAGATTTGTTATCTTATTTCAAAATGATACCAAATTGTGCAGGAAAGTTATTTATTAGTCTTTTCACGGTTCCTCTGCTTGTGATTCTTCCCCTGACAGGAAAGTACGATAACTCTGTTGATGTTTACGCCTTCGGGATCCTCTTCTGGTACCTCTGCACTGGTTCAGTCAAACTCCCAGAATCCTTTGAGAAATGCTCCAGCAAGGACCAGCTCTGGAATAACGTTAAAAAAGGTAAACGTTGCTTTCACACCAGCAGTTTGGTGTGTTGTTCCCTGATGATCAATACAAGTCAAATGGTTTGATTTGTGTTCGCTCTGACTTTTAACAATCCTACCAAGAACATGGTGTTACACAAACAGGAACACACTGATGGGATAGTTTTGGTGTTGTTATCTGGCGATGTGTTAATAATACGGATCCATGCGGAGCAAACATCTTCCGGTGACACTTTGATGTTTGTAATGCATGTGGTGTCACAGTTTCATAAATAGTGACAAAGTGGCAGAAACAAAACGTAAAGAGGCTTTTCATGCAATAATAAAACAAGATTACTTTAAAATCACTTTGTGGCTTATTGTTTAAGGAAGCCGTGCCCATCGCAATGACAGTCAAAACAAACCGAGGAGATGTGCAATATTGTAGATTTTTAACATAAGCTGTTTTATTTTAGCTAATATAAATGGTTTTAATATTTAATATATTTTGGCATCTACAGTCGTGGCGAGAGAGACTCTCTTGACCACTATTTAACTGGATTTTTGTTTCATTTCTTCATGAAGTTAAATTAGATTACAGTTAAGGAAGTTTTGTTAAATAAATGAATTTAATTTAGAAAGTTAGGTGCAGACCACATATTTATTGCTGTAAATGCAAAAAATAAATCTGGTATTTTACCTACATAGTCTATTTTGTAACCAAAACAATTTGATATTCAAAATAAAACAATATGTCGTCATACATGTTTTTTCTGCTGCCGTGTCAGGTCAGACACGAAGCGTGCCAGAGCTGTTTGGCATTAAATAATCACCAAACAACACTAAACATTGCTGTAGGTATAAAGAAATTCTATAAACTATACTTTTACAATTGAGTTTATAAAGGCTTGAAAGATGGAAATATGTTCTGTGCTTGAATTGAGCTTTTAAAGAGCTATAGGAGCGGCTTTATTGTTCCTGTTTTCACTCTGTCCCGCCCCCCCAGGAGCCAGACCCGAGCGGCTGCCCACCTTCGACGAGGAGTGCTGGCTGCTGATGGAGGCCTGCTGGAACGGGGACCCCCTGCAGAGGCCCCTGCTCGGTATTGTGGAGCCCAGCCTGCAAAGCATCATGGTCCGGCTCTGCAACTGCGGCTCTGAACAGAAACGAAGCAGCCTCGAGGACTCAAACTGAAAACACTCTGGACAAACTAACACGTGTGTGACAGGGACGCGGATCAGGAGTGTTTTCTTGTATTTATAAAAAACGGAGATGAACAGGTGACCAATGAATAATGTTTGAGCTGTCCTCCTTTGTCGGATTTACACTATTTATGAGGATTTGATACAGACAAGACGTTTGAAAATATGTGTTTTATTGTTTGTGCGTTGTGTATTTGTATACAAACTATACTTCATGCTTTTGTCGTAGCCGCCATGCTAATTGCTACTTGGTTATATAATTGTTCCTAGATGCAAATTGTTTTTAAAGTAGTTCATTCCCAGTGTTATAACAAAATATAAATATATAAAAGATTAATTTTAGATTGTATTTAAACTGAACATTTCTGCATCTATACAAAAACAACTTTTTTAATAAAATGATCTGTTACAACATGATTGTGTCACTCCGTTGTCTTCAGTCAATAATATCATGATCTTTTCTGAGGAAAGAAAGTAACAGTATTCCTTTAAATCAATGGTTTCTCACCTTTTTGGCCCTGTGACTCCTTACTGTAAAGAAATGTGTCCTCCCTGAGTGTTAGCAACCAGTGTACACATGCTATCAAACAATGACTCATTTGTTTGGCCTGACACATTTGTAGATGCCCAAAGATATTGGATTTTCCAGTTGTTCACGAGGGAAAATAAGGGACAATAAACATAGTTTTGTCAGAATTATCTTTTTTCTTTTGAAAGAGTTATTACTTACTCTGTCTTCAAACAATACGCCTGTACTGCGGGGTACTTCAGTGTGATGGCAACATACAGAGTAAGTGCAACTGTTTTACTGCTGAAGCTGGGAATCATTGGACATTTTACAAATGTTTTTTATTATAAATAATTCTTAATGGTTAATTACGTTAAATGTACCCTGTGTTAAGTACTAGTTGATTAATCAAGCAGAAGTTTATAAATTAGTATTGCTTAATTCATTTAATTTAAGCAATCATCATACACACTCCGCTTAAGCTTTTTTATTGAATTGTTGAACTCTTGATTTAGGAGTAAGGAGGAATGAGTTGTAAGAAGGCTCCTCATCACACTTTATGATGAAATATGCACAGCTTTAGCACCACCTGGTGAGTTTATGCCTCATCTCTCTTTGGTTATAAATGTTTCTAAATAGGGTAAGCAGAACGTTTTAGGGGACAAGTAACAAAACATATTTATATGGACCAATAATCAATACAAATGCTAGACTTTAAAAATAATGACACTATAAAGATTTAAGAATAGTTCAGTCAGATATTCTGCTTAAATCAAAGATTCACATTGCTGGTATTTCTTCTTGTTCATTAGCTTCTGACTTTAAGAATTTCAGTGGTTAAAATCATACTTTAGAGTTATTCCAGCTGTGCTTCAGATGCCCGAGTCCAGTCTTCAGCCGTTGATTCATGATTTGTAAAGATAAGCTTGTTACCTTCACTTAGAGGCAGGCCAACTGTTTCCAGACGTTATGCTACACTGCGCTATGAGACAGCTGGCTTCATGTTTGGTATTAACATTTAGCCAAGTTATAAGTATATTTCCTAAATATGTTAAATGTTTGCCAAAACCATCCTCTGTGAAATTCCACAAAGGCTGTGTTCACCATCCAGGTTTGTAAACTGGCCCCTTTTTATCTGATTATTCCATCTGCACGGTAGGATGTGCCTTGCTTTCAACCGTTAAGCAAAACACATCAGACAGGAAAACGTTATATAATAAGAATTGGAGATAAGAAGGAAATGGTAAAAAACAGTTTAATCAGTAAAAACGGGAGGCGGCTGAGTAAAAGAGACACTTCTCTGTTGGGATACCAGAGTTGATATGATTGACCTGGTGGTGTTGTTTATGGCATGATATCTATACATTAAATTCATGTTTGGAGAAATGGCATCCACATTTATCACATCAATTTGACTGAAAGTAGTAACTAAGATAAAAAGATATTTCCTTCAGACTTTTAAGATACATTTCTAAAAACTGCTTTTGAGTTTATGAAGGAAGTTTTACATATTTACTTTACATTTAAACATATGTCCCCAATTCATTCACACTCTGTACAGTAAAAATGGATTACAGCTCAAATAGTATTACAGCACAATTTCGCATTATTTTACAAATGACAAAAGCTTTGTAGCTAATCTATAAAATACAGCTGTTTAGTCACTGAAGTCGAATGAATGCGGTCATCCTTCCAGAAAAAAGAATGAAAAAACAAGAGCGCTTTTATTGTCCATCGAAAATGTGCTCTTAGTGATTTACAAAAAAAAAGACGTATCAAAAGTCCTTTCCAGCTCTGCACATGCAGGTCTGTCCCCTCAGTCTGTGGGGACATCTGTCAGTGATGAGAAATAGCTTATACGGCATCCACTCGCAGGCAGTGAATCGTTCCTCCTTGTTTTCAAGTTCATAAATCCACAAAGAGCCTGCACTGTTCTGTGCCTCTTGGACATTTGAGGCGTGTAACTCAATAACCTGAGTCTGAACTCCCCCAACAAACTCAGACTGGCACAAATAACAACGGTAAACAACAGAAGGCAAACCAGGAAGACGTCACAACGTAATTCATGAATGAAAAAGGAATTTCCCTGAATGTTTGCATGTCTACCACAAAATTACCCCCCCCCCAAAAAAAAAAACTTTGACCTCTTTAATGTTCCACAGTCTTCAAAACTAAATATATATCCTGGAACAAAAAAAATAAAAGAATCGCCGACAAATCTGGGCAGTAAATTAAAAAAAAAGTGCATTGCTTCAAGTATGTAAACAAAATGATTTCTTTAAAGGGAGAGTGAGACTCGTTCTGTCAGTGTGCGTGAGCCTGGGCCAGTGCAGTGACTCCTGAGGTTTGGCACACATGTATAAACACACACACATTCACACAGTACAACACACACAAACACACTCACACTCCTTCAGAGGATCATGACGACGAGGGGGAATTCCTTCTTTTTCTACTTTTTTTTAAGGAGAAGTCCGGTGCTGCCTGTTTGCAGTCAGTGTTCAGGAGGGAGGCTCTATGACCTGCAAAAAGACACCCCTCCGTCAGCGCAGTCACATGAGGGTGTTGCAGTGGCTGCTGAGAAAACATGGATGAGCATGGATGAGGAGGAGGTGGATGGATTCAGGATGGATGAAGAGGAACGTGTTGAAGACAAATGCAGCGCCACACGAGAAAGAAAAAAGAAAAGAATAAACAGTGAGGCAATGACACACACACACACACACACACACACACACACACACACACACACACACACACACACACACACACACACACACACACACACACACACACACACACACACACACACACACACACACACACACGGTGAAAGATGTTTAAATAATGCAACAATCTGAAGACAGTGATCCTGATTGTTTTAAATGAGGATCAGAGCTTCATGGGATAAAATTAAAGTATAAAAATCTATGATTTTTGAAAAAGAGAGAAGGGCAAAAAAGGTTGATTAGTAAACTACAATTTAGAATTTTATCTTAGAAAAGACCTGCTGTTGTTTAAGAATTTAGCATTTAGAAGATTAATGCCTTTCAGAGACACACGTGCATGTTCACATCTTAAAAAGAAACCCTGATTTAACTTAACCTTGTACAAACATCTGCATCTGCTTATTACTTCCTAAAAATGTAGTAATGAAGGAAATACTCAGATATTTTACTTAAATAAGTAGTAATACAGTTATATGGAAATACAAGGTACATTATTATTGTTTTATATCTTCATTAGTAATAATGGATTGATTCATTATAATATAATATAATTTGTTGGATATATATTGTATCTGAATCTTCAAATTAACTAAATGTAGGGTCTCAAAATTGTACTTTAGTAAAGTATTGAGTAGGCTAAATATTATTAGTGACTGTCCACCAGTATTTTACATTAGATTTGCATCAATAATTCACCAGATGGATGTAGTAGTTAATCATACACGCTCTGTTCTTAAAGTCACCGTTAGTGGCCTTATCACCCAGAAGTACATTTACAGTAGGTTCACTGTTCTGGTTTCAGTTGAATCACAGCGTCTTTAAAACTTTAGGATTCCTCCACACTGAAGTGCACAGTGTGGGTAACAGCACGATGGATGCTGTCTTCATTTGGTTTAACACTTAAGATAATTAGGTGAATGAGACAGACTACAAGTAATGAAAACCACAATCACTGAGGAAGACGGCACTGGCAGTTTGACGCAGACAGTTGAACAAAATGACACACAACACTTACGTATAAAACAACACTTTACTGCTTATATGTGATGTTGCTTTTTGAGTTATTACTCACTCTGATCCTGACGAGTCCCCGTCCACCGTCCCCGCCTTGATGCTCATGGCAACACCGTTCATCTGATCATGCCGGCCGGGGTTAGCCGGGCGGCGCCGCCCTTCACTGGAGGACGACTCCTGTGGGGACGCCGAGCCGGGGGGGGCGTCTTCACAGAGCTCGTTGTGGATGCGGTTCAGACCATTCCTCTCAACTATAGGAGAGAGCTGCTTCTTCTTTAGGATTCCTGTGGACGATAACAACAATCAACAAGTTATTCATTATCATTCTTAGAATAATAATTTGCCTGTAATATAATATAGCAGGATAACATTTTTTCCTTGCGGTTTCCCTTGTGTCATCACCTCAACATAATACTTGATTACTTTTGACTTGATTTATTTCTCAAAATAGAAAATAGACCACATATTAATGGTATTTTCTCAACAAGAAAATTGTAAGTGTTGTCGAAACTCAACAACAACATGCAAAGGTATTTGCATTGAGCTAAAACTCACCTCTGTGGGGGTGGGTGTAGATGTGTGGCAGGCTGGGCAGCAGCGTCGTCATGGCGTCCTGGCCGCGGTCGTCTGATAACTCCCGGGTGTCACGGCCAAGACTCAGCTCCTGATTGGTCGGAGTGTCGGCTTTCAGTCTGTCCGTTCCTGTGAGCTCTCCCTCATCATCAGGCCAGTACATCTTACTCACACTGTTTTCTGCAGAGACAAAGAATACATGACATGTGGGAAAAAACACATGTCACAGTAACTATGACAATGAAATCCTTATAGTTAAACAGGAAGAGATGGGTTGCCTCTCCACAAATACATTATATGTAGCAATAAAATCTATCAATACTGCTGGTTATTGAATGTGCGGTCTTCAAAAGTTGAAGTTACATTAGTTTAAATTAGTCCGATTTAGTGCCTCTCATGCATTAGCAATTCATTCAAATCCCTGTTGTTCTGAAGGTATTTATATATTTAAATCCTGAAACGATCTTAAGAATAATACTCCATTGTTTCCTGATTTCATTTTACTTCCTGAATTTCTGATTTTAAAACAAAACATATTTCTACCGATAACAAGATGTGATGGTATTCCCTTATCTAGGCAGC